TTTAAGGGAAAAGAGCAGAAAGGTGAAAGAGGAAAAGTGGTTACAATAAATGTAAGAATGTTCCATACAGAGAGCTCTGACAGGAGGGAGAAAAGGATATGGCTTCTATAGACGAAGTGCTCGATCAAATTAGAGCCAGTTTCCTGCAGAACAGTCATAAGCATTTCTCCTTAAGGAGGGCTATTTTCCTTAGAAAATTTCAGCCTCCAGCCATGCCAGCTGTAGAGCTGCTCCGAAGCAAAAGGTCACAATAATTTTTTGTATAATGGACACGTTATTTTTTCACCTTTCTGATCCTCCAAATAGCTGCACTGTTTTTCCTTAGATTTTCACAAAACAGGTGTCAAACATGTCAGCCCCAAAGATTAAGGCCTGAGAAAGTTATGTGCAACTACAAACAGAGGGTTTGGATGAAAATTGTTCTAAAGGAGACATTACTACTTCTGTAATACCGATGGCTGCCTTATATTTTATTTTAAAATCATATTTATATTCATTCCTTTATGAAAACCAACAAAGGAAAAGAAAGACAAATGGAACAAACTAATGAGACAGCAAATCAGGGTAATATACAGCTGCTTTCTGAAAAGGCACCTGCTGTAGGATTTCCTGTAGCAAAGGTAGGTGTTGGAGCATCCTTGCATTCAAATGTAGCTCCTATCACGTCCCCAGTGAGGAACAGTGCTGAGGCAGAGAAAAGGAGGCCTGATGTAGCTTTTCAAATTGATGCTGCTTGTGGAGAGGAACAAACAGCTCATCTCCAACTGAGGGGCTGACTCTCGTCATTTATTCATCCCCAACCCCCTGCATGGATGGAAATAAAAATGTTTCAAAGAAGACTGTGTGGGGGAGCTGGAGGACAGCTTGGAGGCACAGTGAGGTTAGTGCATTAATTTTTTATCTCTGGAGACTGGGTATCCAATTATGCTTGGAATACACAAATGGCATCAGCTGATCTCTGCAGTAGAGATGTGTCCATAACACAAAAACTCCCTAACAAGAAGGTATGGTTGATGGATGCTCTGAACTTGTACAGCAAGTGGTTATACAGGTCAAATTTAATCTTAAAAGAATTGGGAGACTTCACTATCATTATTTGAGCACGTAGCAAGTCTGGAGTGAAGTGCACCATCACAAGAGTACAGAATCCCTGCAACAGTATGGAGTGCCATAGGCAAAGCTGTGCATGTGTGTGCATGCTGTCTGCACAGCATGCTGTTGACTTTAGCCAGTGCTATTAGGTACTTTTTTTTTAATCTTGTAAATTTACCCCAAAGTTTTTTCTTTTTCTTTTTTTTTTTTAATTTCAAGAAAGCATTTTGCCACATAAACTTTTCCATTTATACAGGTGACTCAGTCCCCTTCAAAGAAAAGGAAGATTCGGTCCTTACACACAGCAACAGACTTCCCTGTTCCTCTGGGAAAGATATGAGTTCTATACTATCACATTCATTCATATATAGATTGCAATAGACAGATATCTAGTTAACAAAAATCCCACTCTAGAAGCCTCTCAAAATCTGCAGGTGCCAGCTGCCCCCAAGTGTCGGTTTACAACTACAGAATTGATGCTAGGCATACTGGAACACGCGCTGAGTGGAAGAATCATGGGATAAAGACAGCCGAAGAAGAGGCTTGAAATGATGTGGGACAATTTCATTCTAGTGTCAGGCTACGGGTTGATTTGGTTTTTAAAAGTTCCCAGAATGTCTTTTTCAAGTGTTCATACTTGGTCAACACCACTTTGCAAGCAGAAAGAGTAGCAAATCTACTTTGGCCTGGACAAGTTTGGATTCCAAAGAAGGGACATGCCATGGTATCAAGGAACTGAGCTTACCTGAGACTTAGGCCCCCCTCTACGCATTACAGGTATTGTGCAATTAACTGGTTAATTGTACAGTTACCTTAAAACATACCCAAAGTACTTATTAGACAATAAAAAGCTCCAACCAGCTATAAAGTCAGAAAATGTGTACCAACATTATAGCTGGTTGCTACCGAGCTTTAATTTGCACAGGCAGCAGGGTCTCCCTGCGGCTGAGAGCCCTGTCAGCTGACAGAGCTTCCAGCCACAGGGATGCACCGTGCCCAGCATGACACCCCTGGGGCTAGGGGACTGAAGGAAATACTGAAGGAAGTGAAATGTCCAGGGGAAAAGGAACATCCCACCTGGGCTGTTTGTTGTTCTGCGACAAACCCATCAGAGCCCAGCAGTTCAGATTAAGCTGCTCCTATGCAAATCTCCTTTTTTAAAGTCCCTCAGCAACCCAAGATGGCTTGGGAGTGATAAAGGGAGTAAAGACAGGAAGGCAGGGAGAATAGGGCGGAGGGAAGAGAGAGAGACAGACAGAGAGGCCATCAAGCTGTTTTGCTGGCACCAGTCAGGAGATCAATAGCTGACTCTGGCAGAGACTGTGCTCCAAAGAGGCTCCTTCTGTGCTGGCAAGGCTGTTGTAACTGCAGGTATGGCTATGGGCAGCAATGACACAGGAGACATGAGAGGAGCAGAGGGAGCTAAAATGGAAGGAAGTTCATGCTGCAGCAGACTGCCAAAACCTTGCTGCCCAATCCTTACCTCCTGCAGCACGGCAAATTCCAAACGGCTGTTTGGGATCGGCTTTGCCTTTTCTAAATTGGGCTGCTCGCGTTTCTCGGCCATGTGGCTAAGGAAATAATCAGAGTCTGCTATTTACTGTACTTCTGGCCCTTCTGTTCAGTAGGTTGCGGATTAGCTGTTTGGATTAACATCCCCCTCCCCCTCCCACGAGCCCATGCAGAGAGGATTCTTGAAGCCCAGACCCTGCGACACTGCAGACCTGTCAAATCTAATTCATAACACATGCCCAGCAGTACCTAGGGAAAAGGAAGGATATGATGCTCTGGCTCCCCACCATTTCCATGTACAAGGGGACCATTTAATGACTGTGCATTAGCAATGTGGACAATTAGCATTCACATGGAAGATGAATGGTGGCATAAATTAAATATTGTCAAGTAAGGGAGGGAAGATGTAAGGTCTAGGTGCAGGGCTGTACACAAACAAGCAGAAACAGGGAACAAACAGCCAATCCTGAGGCAGGACCATCAGGAGAGCAATTCCCCAAGCTGACCACGATTTCCCCCAGCACACTTGACGTAGTCCCTGCCCCCCCGCACCCCGCCAGGTGACGGTCAGTTATTGAACAGAGAAATCCTTCCTTTTATGGGTCCAGATCATTTAAGTATATGACTGTGACTATCTGTGTTGGGGGCTGCATGCCAGCAGCTTCTCCCTGCCTCGTGCATAAAACCTCCAGCAGCTCTGGGGAAACAGAGGCAAGAGCAGCCCCTGCTGCACACTTTTCAGAGAGCCAGGCACGCTCCCTTCTTCACTGGCCCAGGTTTGCTGGCTCTCTGAAATGAGGGAGAGTCTTACTTTCGTCCCTCCATCCCAGCTCCCTTTTTTTAAATCTGGTAAAGCTGATGATATCAATCTCTGAACATTAGAAGCATTAGAACTGGGACTGTGCCTCAGCCCCATGTCAAGCTGAATGGTGGGGATCAGCAACCTTTCTTGTCTACCTACTTCTACAGTGCTAAGATCAACACTTAGTAATTACATTTCCTAATACCCCTCCCAAAAAGTATTACAGACTTTATTTCAAGCACAGAACACAAATTTAGAAACAACATACAAAAAAAAGTCATAACAAGTCAAATGATGCCATTTACTAGCCTGCCAGAGCCAGCATTCCTCAGAGCCATGGCAGCTCAGATTTAGCAAAAGCTGGACAAGTCAATTCTGCTTCTATTTTATAGAAGTTTAAAAGATAGTGCAGAAAAGTGACAGACACATATGGATTGCCAAGTGGGATCAGACCAAAGGTCCATCTCAATCAGTAACATCTCTCAAACAGTGGACAGAAGCAGATGTTTCCAAGAAAGGTGAAACCCTTCCCCATTCCCTACTCCCTCATAAGACAATTATGGATTATCCTGCTTAAGAGAGAAATGTCTTCCTAGACCTGGTTTCCTTCTCTTTTTCCAAAGGATGAAATATTCACCCATAAAATATTTCTCATATCCATTTTATTCTGCTATCCATAATTTTTTTCCATAATTACTTTGAAATAAAATGGTATTTCCCATCTGAGGGGCCAAAAGCTCTTTACAAAATTAATTAATTGAATTAATTAAATAAACAAATGAATTTTATCTGCACACTGTGCCTGAATGGGGATGCTGATGATTATTATTTTACATACAGTTAAGCATAGAGACAATTGGGCACAGGAAGGCTGAATTACTACGTAAGACTTTGGGCAAAAGGCAGTAGTAAAATTTGGCTCCCCTGACGCCCTGTCTTGTGTTATAAAAAAAAAGGACAGCACTGGATGCCCCTGCGCTGGCTAACACTGTATCTGCCCCCTCTCTTGGCATCCCCAGAGTAGAGACCCTGTTCTCTTTTCCTGTGTCACTCTCCTTTTAGGTTTGTGCAGACAATATTCTAGGCAAGATACTTTCCTGAACTGATAGTATGAATGTGGAGTTTGAAGTGCAGGAGGTCCTGGGTAGGAGAGAATTTCATACCAAAAAACTGAGACGCAAGTAAAGAACTTTCCTCAAAGAAAACAACAAAGAGAATCCACTAAAACAAATTGTGTGTTTTCTTGATCTCCACACTAATCATAGAGAAGCTGTTTGATGACAGGCAGGTTGGGCACCCCTTCCATTCTCCTTTCTCCTTGTCATCTCCTCCCCACAGGAGCAGTGATAGAAAAGTGACTTGCTGCAGAGATAATGCTGGGTTTTAAATGAATTCTTGACTGACTGAGCTTAGCACTAAGGTGAGCTGCAGCTGATTAGCTTCACTAAACATCCCGGTTCCAATCATTCACAAAGGAGCAGTACAATCACAGGGCCTGGGGAAATGCATAGATAGGGATGGAGGTAACATCCCCCTGAAAAAAAAAACATACTCCATGGAGGAGAAAACAAGGGGACAGAAAAATACTACTCACGTTTGTGATTTTCATTTCTGTGCACAGGTGAGGAGCGTGTCTCCTGCTCCCGAGCTTCATCTCCCTCTTCACTGGCTAGGTGAGTGTGAGCATAATGGTAGCTCAGTCCAGGCCTATTCTTGTAACGCTTGCCACAGACTGGGAAGAGAGAAAACATAAGGAAAGGGAGAAGAGAAGGGAGTCATCAGTACCTTTTCCAACAGCGAGTTTGAAACTGCAAATGTAGTGATGGTGAAAGGTGAGAGACTGACAGCCCTGCACATTGATGTCCTCTACTTACCCCAGATAAGCTTCCCTCATACTATCCTACCTGTTTTTTCTACTCCTGGCCTGGAGGGAGGACCTATGAAGTTGAGGGAACTGTTCAAGTCTCCATGGTCTATCCAGCCCTAGGATTCCCAGCTGAGACTGGTAAGAAGGTTATCCAGCAGATTAAATTAAATGCCAATTGTGGTGCTGGTGTCTTGTGCTATGTACTTCTTACCAACAGGAACTGAACTGAGACCAAAGAAAATTGTTTCCATGATTACTGATCACAGGAAAAAGGAACTGTTTCTAACAGCAAGAGAAGAGAGCTTTTCTTTGAAAGGGTTAAGTCAATTGTTTTCTTTCCAGACATAAATCCAGACACAAAGGTTAACAGTCACTTACTATTTCTTGTTAAAAGAATGTTCAGGAGTGATAATTTTACTCTCTGCCCAATTAAACCTCACATTCATCAGTCCAGTGAATAATGCATTGTGTGATGGAGAATCCTCCATAAAAGTTTTGCTCGGGTTTATCTACATTTTAAGTGCTTGCTTATACATTAAACTTTTTATAGGAATTTATTTGTATTTAGGTTATTGCCTCTAAAAAGACAGTACTTTGCACTTCTCATCTTCAAAGCACTTTAGGTATGTCACAAGTTCTTCTTCACAACAGTTTTTATACTAAGTATTGTTACTGTCATTTAACAGATAGAAGAACTGAGACACAGAAGTTAAGGAATAGTTCCTATACACACTACCAGAAACAATACTTACTACTGTGAGTAATCTCATTCACTTCAGAGATCACCCACAGTAGCCTATACTATTCTTTGCAGAACTGAGGTTGCGTCTACACATGCAATTAGTGTACATCAATAAACTCTGGAGCTTATTATTCCTGAGCTTTTTGCTCCTGGGCATACCATTTGAACATGCACCTGGGAACAATTAACTCCGGAGCAACTGACTCCAGAATTTATTCATGCACAGCAAGTGGAGCTCAGCCGGAGCAGCCCCAGGTGGCAGGGGGCCCTGGGAGTCAGTCTGCCAGCCCAGGGCTGCTCTAACCAGGCTCAATGTGCTGTGGAGGGGCTGGCTGGGCCATGAGAGTGCTAAAGTGTGGGGCTAGCTGCCAGGGAGCCCCAGCACTGAAGCACACTAATGACCCAGTCAGCCAGGTCAGTGTCTACACGTGCACTGTTGCACATGAAAAAACTAAGCAGCAGGATAGTATTTGTATTTACAAGTACTACCCTGCTGTGGAGTTAGTTTCCTGCACCGTAATAGAGGCACACTTGTAGATGCCAAGACATTTACTGCAGAGCTAATTAATCAGCTCCACAGTAAACATCTTGTATAGACATGCCCTGAGTCCTCTGTAATATGTCTAAAAAGAGGAAGCTAATGTCAGGAGTAGGAGTGGAACCCAACATTACCTTAGTCTTTCCATCCATTCTCATTAAGTCAAACTCCATCTAAGGCCTTGTTATAGCCCAAGGGTCAGCAACCCCCAGCATGTATGCCGAGCATGGCACGCAAGGCCATTTTGCTCGGCACACCACCACCAGCCCAGGCTCTAAGCAGCGGCTGCCAGCCACGGAGCCCAGGCTGCTACCAGCAGGAGGTTGGGAGGCTACCAGCCCTGCTTCAAGCAGACCAGGCTCCATGGGCCAGCTGCAGCCAGGAGGCTGCAAACAGCTGCTCCAGGCTCCAGCATGTCAGCACTCCGACACCTTCCAAGGTAGACATTGTGGTTTTTTCGGCACTCTGGCCAAAAAACGTTGCCTACCCTGTTATAGCCTGATGCAGTAAATGCCTCTTAGCTGTTTCACTTGTGTGACTGTATATACATGGTACAAGTTCTATATGACCTTACTTCACCTTTTTCACAAGCTTGAGTCTGACAAAATTGTCATACTCAGTAAAAAAGCTCAAGAAAGGACTTTGTTCATTTATACAGAGATACTCGGTATTCATTGTCAATTTTTGTCTGCTACTCTTTACAAAAATCCAATAGATGATCCACATTCAGAGGGAGATGATATGAAACTGTAGACTACAAACTGGCACAATAACATATTTTATTTTCAACCTATTCTAACTAGCTTGTAAAGTCCCTCAGGGAAAGTACCTTGTCTTATTATAGGTTTGTAAAGCCTGTTCATCTATGACACAATATGAGTAAGATAAATGATTTGTAATGTTAACTCTTCTTGTCCTGCTTCTCCACTGAGCATAGATAAATAACCATATGTAAGATGTGTACCTTGCTCCCATGTAAATAAAAGAAATATTAAAAAGAAAAAAAGTTAAAAGTAAAGCATTGGCATGAGCAGGAAACACACAAAAATGTACAATGAGAAAACAGACTCCAATTCTGTCAGGTCTGACAAGGGAATTCAACCTTCACAACACATTCAGTCCTGGCCTGCTCTGCTCCTAGTACAGACTAGGGGATCAAATGTGATGGCTACCTATTACTCATGAGTCTACAATCTTCTGGTCCTTAAGAGAAGTCAATAATATAGAGAATAATTTTACACTTATGAGAGGCTGTGTACCAGTAATTTGGAGGGAAGCCAATTAATGGTGCAAATCCCTTTAAGTCTGGTGGCAACTACACCCATGAAACAAAGGATCTTTAGGCTCCAAATGTGTAAAACCTAATAGATTCCAAGAATAATGGTGTGTAAAAAGGTTAACGCATGAACACTAAAGTTTCTAGAAAACTGTCTGCGACAAGAGCATTGGTAAAGTGATATGAAGCGTCTCATCTCCAGGTCACTACATCCAATCCAGCCCTTTTTGGTCAAAAACAAGTCACTACTCATATCATTCACTGTTGCTCTACTTAAATGAAAAAACACCGTATATAGTATTTTCTGATATATTAAATATTATATAGACGCAGTAGTCTAACCATAGTTAAGACAAAGATATACTTCCATTTGTGAACTCAAATTTAACTCTAAGAGAAAAAAAAACAAAAAGGTCTTCTCAAATTTTCCAGGTGTAGTTTCTGAATAGCAAGAAATCTTTTCGTCAAGAGTGAAGCAAGTTACATAAACTGTTTCTGTGACAGGTGGATGAGAAAAACAGAAATAAATCAGATTTTAAGTCTTTTTATGGCCATCTCATGTTAAAAAAAACCTGTCTGCTTTCAAAACTTCAAACGGAGTATATGCAAAAGATCTTGGCAAGCTAGTGTATAAAATCAAATCTGAAAGGGGAAAAGGCATGCTTGGGAATGTATTCACTATCAGATTGCAATAATATCCATCAATCCTTGTGAACTTTTGCCAGGGTGCCATGTGACAAATACTGCCATTTTAAAAAGTAAGCTTCTAAGCCATTTTATGGCAATAGGTGCAATAAACTGCAGAATGTTTCAGCTACTCAGAATAAGGTAAGGTAAGATAAGAAACCAGATGGGTTACAGAGATTCTCGCAATTACCCAAAAAATCACAGGGAAGACATGAATACTTGCTAAGGCTGTGCCAGATTCTGTGGCTGGGCTCTTTAGGCTGTAGAAATCCTTATGATAGGTCAGGAGGGCTTCAGCAGGCAACGCAGTCATGGCTAGAAAGGTGATCGGTGGAGCTTTAAACCTGAGTATAGGCCCTGGGGTTCTGTATGTATGGTCCCAGTAGATTGCTTGAAGGCCTTGTGATTTGAATAAGAAGAGATTCTGGAGGTGTTAGAACTGAACCCACAGCTTCTTCCTTGGTGATCAGGCCTTTCCCCGTTATCATGAAAGAGCTCCTAGGAAATTCCAATGGTTGGAACTTCTGAGGTTTCCTATTTCCCAAGGAAGAAAGGGGCCTTACGTCTTTATTCAAGCAAAACAACTATTGGCTTCAGCTAGAGTTTGGAATCAAAACTAAATCAGAACTACAGGATTTTACTGACAAATTGGAAACTTCCCAAATTCTGCCTGCTCTCTTCTTTCACTAGATGGAACAGGTTTTATTAACCTCACATATCACCATCTTGGGAGGTCGCTTTTGTAAAACAGCAATAATTATTATATAATTATACAATATATAACTATATACAGCTTTATATGTAATTATTGTATATGTATATAATTGTAATTAATTAAAATGTACTGGCATAATTAATTATCCATCCCTTTAATTGGGTTGACTTAAACTTTAATTGATTAAAAATCAATTTAGCTTTGATTAATGATTATCCATTGCATCATTAATTGAATACAATTATAGTTATATATATAGATATTTCTTACATAACATATATAATGCTTTCTATATTCAAAGGGTTTTCCAAATATTAACTCATTAATCCTCCCTACACCGCTGTGTGGCAACTTTTATCGTGCTTTTGCAGATGAGAATGCAGTTCAATGATGTGTTCACAATCAGACAGTAATCTATTGTCAGATCTGGATTAGAATTTGTCAGTTCTGAATTTCTAGTCTTGCGCTCAGACCACTTTCATTGCTGCTGAATAGACCTACCAGTAAAGCAATGCATAGCTTTCCTCCTGTTTCCTAACACTGAGACCATTCCTGCATATTGTCTGCGGTCCTTCTCAGGCAACCAGGCCCATTGAAGTCAATGGAAATTTGTATTGGAGAATTTGACCCACACTGCACTCTGGCTTATCCTGTAGATAAATGATGTATTTTGCTTCCCATTAACTGTAACTTATATGAACTTACATCTTTAGAGTAAATTGGCTCACCTAGCCATACAGCAGAGGAAACATCCCAAATTAAAACCGGAGAGGGAACTCTTAAAGCATCAGAATCCACCAGATGCACTTCTCTGACTTATCTTACATTTCTTCCAATTTTTAAGCCTGAAAGTAAGAGGTTACACAACCATTTTAGAGAAAAACTGGCCCCCTTGGAGAAAGTTTGG